AACCAACAATAACAAAAAGTATCAGCTGGAAAGGAAGGAATCAAAGTTATCTCCATTTGCAGTTAACAGTAGAAGCCCCATGGAATACAGAAAAAGCTCCTATAATAATTGTTAGCAGTTGTAGGTCAACAGAGATGTCAGTCGTATCTGTATGATAGCAGTGAAATATGAAGCGGAATTAAAAGTGTCCTTTATAATAATTGAAAACAAAGCCCTACAAACCTTTGATAAAAGTAGTAAGACATGCAGAATCTGCCGTGTGGAAATCAAATGCTGATGAAAGAAATGAAGACCTAATTGAAAGATAAACCATGTTCCAGGGTTAGAGGACTTAATAAAGTGGAGATGTCAGTTCTCTTGAAGTGATCTTAGAGTAAATAGGACTCCATTCACAATCTCGGCAAGGTTTTCTATAGATAGAGACTAGCTGACTTGAAAATGTATATGAAAAGAACGAAATTACTACCCAAAGCAATTTTGTAAGAAAAAGTTGGACGACTCATGCTACCTAATTTCAAGAACTGCTGTAAAGATAGAAGATTCCAGAATCACACACACACAAGAGTCACTGAATTTTTACAAGAATTTGAAGTTGGGGCTGGGAAGATGGCTCAGTGGTAGAGTGCTTGCTTCCCATGCATGAGGCCCTAGGTTCGATTCCTCAGCACCACATAAGCAGAAAAAGCCAGAAGTGGTGCTGTGGCTCAAGTGGTAGAGCGCTTGCCTTGAGCTGAAGAACTGAGGGACAGCGTCCAGGCCCAGAGTTCAAGCCCCACAACCGACAAAAAAAAAAAAGAATTTGAAGTCAGTAGGAAAAGATATCCACAAAAAAAAAAGTTTCCAACAAGTGTTGAAATAATGGAGTATGCAGAAATCAGTCAACTTTGTAATTATAATAAAAAGTTAAAGACATTATAAATGTAAAAACCATAGTGTTCTAGAGAAAACATGAAAATCTTCATGCTCTAGGAAAAAATTCATACAAAGAATACCAAAAACATAACGGGGAAAATTTACATACATGCTAGGCTTCAAAATAAAGCTTTTGCTCTGAGGGAAACACTAAAAAGAAGGAAAAGAGAGCTACAGGATGAGAGAAACATTTGCAGAGCTGATAAAAGACATCCACAATATATAAACTCTTAGGAAAAAAAGCTCTCCTGTATCCAGAATGTATAAAGAACTCTCAGAGCAAGTCTATTCAAATCTTCTTTTGTTATTTTTTAATGGGCAAAAGGGTCATCAAAAAAATACAGAAATGTCAGGTGCTAGTGGCTCACACCTATAATCCTAGCTACTCAGGAGACAGATGTGAGGATTGGGGTTCAAAGCCCAGGCAGGAAAGTCTGTGAAACTGTAGCCACCAGAAAAGCCAGAAGTGGCGCTATGGTTCAAGTGGTAGAGCTTGACCTTCAGCTGAAGAGCTCAGGACAGCACCTAGGCCTAGAGTTCAAGCTCCATGACCAACCAAAAAATATATATAGAGAGAGAGCGAGCGTGCTGAGCACTAGTGGCTCATGCCTATGATCCTGGCTGCTCAAGAGGCTGAGATTTGTGGTTCATAGCCAGCTCAGGCAGGAAAGTTCAAGAGATTCTTATCTCCACTTAACCACCAGAGAACTGGAAGTGAAGATATGGCTCAAAGTGGTAGAGTGCTAGCCTTGAGTGAAAAAATCTCAAGGACAGCACCTAGGCCCTGAGTTAAGCCCCACAGCTGAGAGAGAGAGGACAAAGAAAAAACATGGCTGGGAATGTGGCTCAATGGTAGAGTGCTTGGCTAGCATGCATGAAGCCCTGGGTTCAATTCCTTAGCACCACATACACAGAAAAAGCCAGAAGTGGCACTGTGGCTCAAGTGGTAGAGTGCTATCCTTGAGCAAAAGAAGCTCAGGGAACTGCCCAGGTCCTGAGTTCAAGCCCCAGGACTGGCCGGAAAAAAAAAAAAGCACATGAAAAGATAACCTCATTTACACAGCTGTTGAGGAAGTAGCCATTAAAACCATACATCAGGGCTGGGAAGGTAGCTCAGTGGTAGAGTGCTTGCCTTGCATGCATGAGGCCCTGGGTTCAATTCCATAGCACCACATAAGCAGAAAAAGCAGGAAGTGGTTCTGTGGCTCAAGTGGTAGAGCACTAGCCTTGAACTGAAGAGCTGAGGGACAGTGCCCAGGCCCAGAGTTCAGGCTCCATGACCAACAAAAATAAAATAACTAGAGCCTGAAAGAACTGAAGGTAGAGTGCTTGCTTAGCAAGCATAGGCTTCAAAGTCAACCTCGAGACCCACCAAAAAGGTGTAGATATTCCTGGGGATGTAGAGCGAGCTGCTGTAGCTCAGTGCCTGCGGTCTTCAGACCCAGCCTCACTTGGTGCTCTTTTTTTTTGTTGGAGACCAGGAGTTGAACTCGGTGGCTGATGCTTTACCATCTGAGCCACAACTCCAACCCCAAGAGTTGGTTATTTTCTTCTTCACTTATGACTTGTTTTTGTTTTTCTTTTTCTTTTGGTCCTGAACTCTGGGCCTGGGCGCTGTATCTGAGCCTTTCAGCTCAAGGCTAGCGTTCTACCACTTGAGCCACAGCACCACTTCTGGCTTTTTCTCCTTATGTGGTACTGAGGAATCGAACCCAGGGCCTCATGCATGCAAGGCAAGCACTCTACCCCTGAGCCATTTTCCCAGCCTAGCTTATTTTTAACAAGGTCTTTTCCAAAGGTCTGTTTCTTCTTGTTTTCTTTCTTACTATGTAGCCCAGGCTCACCTAGGTGCTCCTTTTGAACTCTTCTTGATCCTCTTGCCTCAGCCCTCCCAGACACCTATCCTTTTTGGTCTTTGTTTTTTGTTTCCTGCAGTGTTAGTGATTGGACCTAAGGCCTTGCAAATACTAGACAAGTGCTGTAATACTGAGCTCCCTCCCCATTCAAAGGTCTGTCTATGCTTGTCTTTGAGACAAAATTTAAGGTAGCTACATTACATTTACACAACTCCCAGTGCCCTTCATTAATTAGCTTACATTAGTTATACAGGGGAATTTCATCGTTGCCTTTCTACATGTTTTGAATGTGTTCCCATCTCCTGTCCCGGTTTTTAAATTTTTTTAATGTTCACAATATTTGGTGTTTTTTGTTTTTGTTTTTGCCAGTCGTGGGGCCTGAACTCTGGGCCTGGGAGCTGTCCCTCAGCTCTTCAGCTCAAGGCTAGCTAGCGCTCTACCACTTGAGCCACAGCACCCCTTTTGGCTTTTTCTGCTTATGTGGTGCTGAGGAATCGAACCCAAGGCCTCATGCATGCAAGCCAAGCACTCTATCACAGAGCCACCTTCTCAGCCCTAATGTTGACAATATTAAAGTTTCCTTTTAAGGCCATGTGCTCGTGGCTCACACTGTAGTCCTTGCTACTAGGGAGGCTGAGATATGAGGATTGCAGTTCAAAGCCAGCCTCTGTGTAGAAAAGTCCTGATAAGACTCTCCACTCAAAAACCATAAGTAGAGCTGTGGCTCAAAGTGGTAGATCATTAGCCTTGAGCAAAAGAGCTCAGGAACAGTACACAGGCCCTGAGTTCAAGCTCCATGACCGAGAAGGAGAAAAAAAATACTTCTTTTAAAATTTCAGTCAATGGGGCTGGGAATGTGGTTTAGTGGTAGAATGCTTGCCTTGCATGCATTGAAGCCCAGGGTCCTATTCTTCAGTACCACATAAACAGAAAAAGCCACAAGTGGTACTGTGGCTCAGATGGTAGAGTTCTATCCTTGAGCAAAAGAAGCCCAGGAACAGTGCCCAGGCCCTGAGTTCAAACCCCCAGAACTGGCAAAAAAAATTAAAAAAAAATTTTTCAGTGTTACTCTATTGCTACATATATTCTCCTGAGATGTCTTTATAGAAAGCAGTTTTTTTCTGTGGTTGATGAGAACACTTCATCTCCCTGAAATTTCCTTCTTTGTAGTTGCTTCTTGTGGATGAACTTGGTTTGTTAGTCTCAGTAATTCCGTGTACATTTTGAAGTTGCCAGCTGATGTTTACTGGTTTAAGAGGCTTGTTTTTTCACTCCCCTGCAGAATTGGTCTCAGGCTTTTCCTGAATAGAACTAGTGCAAAACTCTGGTCAGCAAATCACTTGTTTGGTTATTTTCCCCCACAGTATATCCTCCCTACTCCATTCCCCACCTTCTGCTTTAAAATTCTTAGATCAGGCTGGGAAGGTGGCTCAGTGGTAGAGCGCTTGCCTTTCATGCATGAAGCCCTGGGTTCGATTCCTTAGCACCACATAAGAAAAAAGCCGGAAGTGGTGCTGTGGCTCAAGTGGTAGAGCGCTAGCCTTGAGCTGAAGAGCTGAGGGACAGTGCCCAGGCCCAGAGTTCAGGCCCCATGACTGGACCCCCCCCCAAAAAAAAAAAAAAAAATATATATATATAATAAAATTCTTAGATCAAAAAAAAGAAACCAGTGTGCTTTATAGACCTGAACTTTTGGATGTCTAGAATGACTCCCATCTGTCATATCTCCAGTTAGGAAGGCTCTATTCATATTGGTTAAATGGTCTGCAGTATAGTGAATCATATGTTACTGTCGGCCATTAAAAAATACCTTGTGGGCTGGGAGGTTGGCTCAGTTGCAGAGTGCTTGCCTCACATGCATGAGGTCCTGAGTTTGATTCCTCAACACCACATAAGCAGAAAAAAGCCGGACGTGGTACTGTGGCTCAAGTGGTAGGGCGCTAGCCTTGAGCTGAAGAGCTGAGGGACAGCACCCTGGCCCAGAGTTCAGCCCCTCACAACCGACAAAAAAATAAAATAAAAGTACATTGTAGTAATAAATAGCTACTACCTTTCAGCTGAGATACCTTACAGTAGTTCACAGTGCTTGAGCAATAATTATTGGGTTTTAAGAAATTTGATATAGTATGAAAAGGTTCTTGGTTATGTAATGTTTTAGTACTTTATTTTGATGTTTGATATTCTCATACTTGTCATTATAAAAGTTAAAAAAATGTTTTCCCCCTTTTGTAGGCAGTCATTATTTGTATCAAAAACAAAGAATTTGAAAAGGCGTCGAAAATTTTGAAAAAACATATGACCAAGGACCCCACAACTCAGGTAATTTTATATATTTTTGCTCCTGTGATTTAAGTCATCTCATTCCCCTCTCTGTCCCTTATACTGAGGTTGGAATTCAAGGCCTCACAGTTGCTCGATTGACACTATATCTACCTCTTGTATCATACCTCCAGCCCTGTTTTTTGTTTTGTTTTGCTGATTTTTTTTTTTTCCCGGTCCTGTGGTTTGAGCTCTGGGCCTGGGCTATCCCTGAACAACTTGCTCAAAGCTAGCACTCTACCACTGGAGCCATACAGCCACTTCCAACTTTTTCTGTGGTTTAATTGGAGATAATCTCATGGGGGCTGGATGCTGGTGGCTTGTGTCTGTAATCCTAGCTACTCAAGAGGCTGAGATCTGAGGATCATAGTTCAAAAAGACAGCCCGGGCAGGAAAGTCCTTGAGACTCTTATCTCCAATTAACCACCAGAAAACTGGAAGTGGCCCTGTGGCTCAAGTGGTAGAGCACTTGCCTTGAGCTGAAGAGCTGAGGGACAGTGCTCAGGCCCAGAATTCAAGCCCCACCACTGACAAAAAAAAAAAAAAGTCTCATGGACTTTCCTACTAAGGCAGGCTTTGAACTGTGATCCTCAGATCTCAGCCTCCTCAGTAGGATTACAGACATGAGCCACCAGCATCTGGCCATCTCTCTGCTTTAGAATAATGATGAAAGGATTCTTTATCAAAAATATTATCTAAATGTTCACCTTTAAATATGCAACATTTTAGCTAAGTGATTCAGCATGTTAATCCGAGAATCCTAGTATTTGGAAGGCAGGAATATCACAAGACTGTCTCAAAAAAAAATAAATCTGGCTAGGCACAGGTGGTTTATACCTGTAATCCTGGCTACTCAGGAGACAGATCTGAGCATCACGGTTCAAAGCCTGCCTGGTCAGAAAAGTCTGTGAGACTCTTATTTCCAATATGTCACCAAAAAGCTGGAAGTAGAGCTGTGGTTTAAGTGGTAGAGTGCTAACCTTGAGCAAAAGAAGCTCAAGGACTGCTCCCTGTGATTAAGCCCAGGACCAGCACGAAAAAAAAAAAGAGAGAGAGAAACATTTGAGCTTAATTTTTTGATTTATTACTATTTGCTCAGGCTTGAATTCAAGACCTTGAGGCTTGCTTATCAGACACTATCACTCCTTCAGCCCCCCCCCACCCTTTTTAAGGCAACATCTCTATAGCCTGGCTTCAAACTCTCAGTCTTCCTGCCTCAGTTTCCCAAGTGCTGAGACTAAAAGGCATGGTCTTAAATGCAGTTTTTGGATAAGGTAATACATGTAACACAATACAACATTCAAAGGGCAACAGAAGAGTTCAGTGATCTAGCATGGTTATGAAAGCCTATACTCCTAGCTACTTAGGAAGCAGAGATCCAAGGGCCTGAGGTTGTAGGCCAGCCCAGGAATAGAGAGGCTAGGAGATGGTGTGTGCTTGTTATTCCTGCTACTGGGGAAGCACAATGGCTGGGCATGGTGTGGCGGGTGCCTCTTACTGCAGCAACATAGGGATAACAGGCCAAGTGGGCCTGAGCATAAAGTGAGGCCCCTGCCTCTAAAAGAAGGCAAAAAGGGGCTGGAGGTGTGGCTCAATTGTCAGAGTGTCTCCCCACCATAAATGAGACTCCAAGTTCAGTCCTCAGTAGTGCCAAAAAGAAAAAAGAAAAAAAAATTCTTGGCTTTAACCATTGCCTACCTGTTCCTCTCAGAAGCAATCACTGTTACTCCTTTCATCCTTTCAGAAATATACATGTATAATGCACAAACAAGTTTGTGTGTTTGTAGACTATACCCATTTTGCCTGTTTTTCCATCACATATGCGACAACATACTCTGCACATGATTTGAGCACTTAAATTTGCTTTTACTTAATATTATATCTTAAAATTCTATTAGCATATAGCACTTTATCTCTCTTAGTTAGTGGGGGAGGGGTCAGTCCTGGGGCTTGAACTCAGAACCTAGGCACAGTCCCAGAGTTTTTTTTTTTTCCCAAGGCTAATGCTCTACCACTTGATCCACAGCTCCACTTCTGGATTTTTTTTTTTTTTTTGCTGGTTATTTGGAGATAAGAGACTCTTTTACTTACCTGCCCAGGCTGGCTTCAAACCATGATTCTCAGATCTCAGCCCCTGAGTAGCTACGGTGTGAGGCACTGGCACCTTGCTTGCTTTGCCTCTTTCTTACAGCTTCATGATTACTCATTGTGGCTAAACCATCATCTGTTGATCAGTCCTCTGTGTTACATATGCTGTTGATTTTTACTGAAGGCACTGCAAAAGTTCTGATAGTGTGCTGTCTAACTCACTGAATTTTTACTGCTGTTTTCCTTTCTCACGTTTCAAATGTTGGTCCTTTATATAGAAACTGAGGAACGATCTCCTGAATATTATCCGAGAAAAGAACTTGGCCCACCCTGTTATCCAGAACTTTTCCTATGAGACCTTCCAACAAAAGATGTTGCGCTTCCTGGAGAGCCACCTGGACGACACTGAGCCCTACCTTCTCACGGTACGCCTTCATCTTTTCTCTTCTATAGTCATCACGTGCCTTCGAGGAAGGCTGGGAATTAGGAAACCACAAGTGAAAAGACAAAGATTGAATTGTGTCTTCCTTAAATGCCTCAGAAATACCAAGGAATAGCCAGGCACCAGGAGCTCACACCTGTAGTCCTATCTACTTAGGAGGCTGAAATCTGAAGATCAAGGTTCAAAGCCAGCCTGGGCAGGCGGGAAAGTCTGTGAGACTCTTTATCTCCAATTAACCGACAGAAAACCAGAAATGGAGCTGTGGCTCAAAATGGCAGACTGCTAGCCTTGAGCAAAAGAGCTCAGAGACAGTGCTCAGGCCCAGAGTTTAAGCCCCAAGACCAGCACAAAGAAAAAAGAAATTTGACTTTGATACATGATGCTAAAAGTATACTTGGGAGCCAAAAACTGGAACTGGATTGTGATTGAGATTGGAAGGACAGAAGATACATAGAGTAAAATTTTGTAATTATTTGATATCTGAAACATTTTAACGGGCTAGTGATGTCTAGGGGGTTAACGACACTTAAAGTGAGTTGCCTTTCAGTGAAGACACCTTGACCCACTTGGGGAAGTGTTGCTGTTTTGGTTTTTTGTGGGTTTGTGTGTGCGTGTGCGGGCATGTGTGCGTGCATGCGTGTGTGTGTGTGTGTATGTGTGTGTGTGTGTGTGTGTGTATTTGTGTATTTGTTGCCAGTCCTGGGGCTTGAACTCAGCCGGGGCACTGTCTCTGAGCTTCTTTTGCTCAAAGCTAGCAGTCTACCACTTGAGCCATAGCTCTACTTCTGGCTTTTTTCTGTTTATGTGGTACTGAGGAATTGAACCCAGGACTTCATACATTTTAGGCAAGCACTCTACCACTAAGCCACATTCCAAGACCTGTGTTTTGTTTGTTTGTTTTTTGTGCCAGCCCTGGGACTTGAACTCAGGGCCTGGGCACTATCCCTGAGCTGTTTTGGCTCAAGGCTATGGCTCTACCACTTGAACCCCACAGTGCCACTTCTGGCCTTTTGTTTGTTTGTTTGTTTGTAGGGCTTGACCTCCGGGCCTTGCTAGTTCTTTACCCTACCACTTGAGCCACAGCACCACTTCCGGTTTTTGAGTGGTTAGAGTATGTTTATAGTGAAAGAAGCAGAAAATAAGTGAAATTCTGTTTCCTCTTCCTGATATCTTTCCTGTTTCAGATGGCCAAAAAGGCTTTAAGATCTGAGTCCGCTGCCTCAAGTACAGTGAAAGTAGATAAACAGCCAGCACCAGAGCCTGTGGAAAAGCCCACCAGAGAGTCTCCAAGGTAAGGGAGATGCCTTTGGTGACTTTGGGGAGCACGCTGAACAGAATTATTTCCTCAAGGTGGCAGAACGGGCTTAGTGGGCTACGACACTGGGCAATAGACAGTGGCAAAGATGACCTGTCAGAGATTCCCCACAGAAGATCCTGGCACGCTCTTCCTCAGAGGTGATGTTTCCCCTTTCTGCTTCACTCACACCTGCAGTAGTATTCAGATGTTTGAGTAGGAATCCCAAGTGTGGTAGCTAAAGCCAGGGGTCTCAAGTTGAGATGCATTTGAGGACCTATGTGTTAGTCCTTTTTGCATTACTCTTAACAATTTCATAAAGAAAAGGGGTTTGTTTTTAGCTTGTGGTTGTTAGATTTGAGGGCCTGTGATTGTGATGGCCTTTCCTAGCAGGGCACCTGTCATCACATGCTAGGTGATAGGGAGAATGTGGATGTCTCTGCCTGTGACTCCTAGTCTCTCTCTCTGTCCTTTTTTTTTGGGGGGGAGGGGTCCATTCGTGGGGCCTGAACTCTGGGCCGGGGCGCTGTTCCTCAGCTCTTCAGCTTAAGGCTAGCACTCTACCACTTGAGCCACAGCACCATCTCTGGCTTTTTCTGCTTATGTGGTGCTGAGGAATTGAACCCAGGGCCTCAGGCATGCAAGGCAAGCGCTCTACCACTGAGCCACCTTCCCAGCCCCTGTCCTTTTTTTTTTTTTTAATAAGTTTTTTACTGTGAAAATACCGTACAGAGGGATTACAGTTACATGAGCAAGGTAATGAGTACATTTCTTATCAAGCATTGTTGCCTCCTCCTTTGTTTCCCCTTACCATCCCTGCCCTCCCATCTCCTTTCTCTCCCTCGACCCCCCTTTCTGGCTTTTTCAGAGTAGTTTATTAGAGATAAAAGTCTCACAGACTTCTCTGCCCTGGCTAGCTTTGAGCTGCGATCCTCAGATCTCATCCTCCTGAGTAGCTAGGATTACAGGTGTGAGCTATTGTGTCCAACTTGGTGTGTGGAGTGGGGTAGGGGGCTATTGGGTTCTGAACTCAGTCTTTGTGCTTGCTAGGCAGATGCTCTATCTGACCACAACTCTAGCCTTTTATGCTTTAGTTATTTTTCAGATGAAGAAATTTGTTGTTTGCTGCCTAAAATCATTACAAGTCAATCTTAGGTGGGAGTCAGCATTCAATACATGGATAAGATTTTTTGTCGTTGTTTTTATTGTAACGGTAAGGGAGTTTTTTCATACCAACATTAACACTAGGTGACATCATAGGCCAGATGACAAAACAAACCAACCTGAGAGAGCCAGACCTTAATCCTCCTACCTACATGTCCTATTTCGTTGTCATTACCGGTATATTCCACCACACCTGGCTTGTTGGTTGAGATGAAATCTCCCTGACTTTTTTTTTTTTTTTTTTTTTGGGTCCGGTCGTGGGGCCTGAACTCTGGGCCTGGGCGCTGTCCCTCAGCTCTTCAGCTCAAGGCTAGCGCTCTACCACTTGAGCCACAGTGCCACTTCCGGCTTTTTCCTTTTTGCTTATGTGGTGCTGAGGAATCGAACCCAGGGCCTCATGCGTGCAAGGCAAACGCTCTACCACTGAGCCACCTTCCCAGCCCCTCTCCCTGACTTTTTGCCCTGGCTAGCCTCAAACCACTTCTTTCCTGTTTCTGCCTCCCAAGTAGCTGGGATTATAGACATGAGCACTCTACTGGCTCGTGTCTTGGTGTTTTAATGCCGAGTTGTCTGTCTAATTTGAAACCTTCCATTGAGAAGTAGTAGTGCCTATTTGGATGAGCTTTGGCAGTGGTGAACTGACCCTTGTGTGTTTGCTTTATATGTAGGCAGCTGCAGAGTACTCCAACCACCATTGGGATTCGGACTCTGAAGGCAGCTTTCAAGGCTTTGTCCAGTGCACAGGATTCAGAGGCAGCTTTCTCAAAACTGGACCAGAAGGATCTGGTACTTCCTAATCAAGCATCCCCATCATCAGTAGCTCTCAAAAACAAGAGACCCAGAAAAGATGAAAATGAAAGCTCAGCTCCTGACAGGGAGGGCAGCTCAGAACTGCAGCCCAAAAACAAGCGCATGACAATAAGCAGATTGATTTTGGAAGAGGACAGCCAGTGTACTGATCCCAGCACAGGCCTCAACTCCTCCCAGGAGTCCATTCCATCGTCACCATCCAAGCCCACAGCTCTCAGCCACATGCGACCTGGGGAGAAGAATCCCAAGTACGAAGACCTTTGTAGTTGTTTGGGGGCTGGTTGGCGATCCTGGTTGGGCCTGGGATTACTTCCATGAATGAAGTAACTTTGAACTAAGTTACTCACCACCAAGGCTTACTCAACGCGCTAGAATGTGACTTGGGAGCAGGGAGTGACAATGTAGCCTCCCTGCTAGTTGCAAAGCCCTGCATGTAGGCTGCCCAACATTGCCCTAGGGCGTAAGTGAGGATGGAAAGGTTCCCAGCCTCCCCATCGCCGCTTTCATTTTTAGCAAGTTTCTGTTCCAAGAAAGCTGTTTGAATCGGGCTACGTTCCACCTTGATCTGTTCTAAAAGACTGAATACTTGCAGTTTTGCACTTTCTATGAGCGTTTGAAACTCTGAGAAATTGAGTAAATACCTGCTAACCTTACACATTCTGCTAGGTACTGTGGGGCAGTGGTTAGAGTACTTTCATTTTACTCTCATCTTGACTCTCAGCCTAGCTTTTAAGTCTTGCTGCCCATTGTGCCCTCTGTGGGTCCACCCTCCAGGCAAAGTGCTGTGCTTGCTCTCTGGGACACGCTGCCTGTTTTCTCCTGCTGTGCTTCTGCTGCTTCTCATTCCCCACAATGGACTGTCATCCTTCCATCATTGCTTGTCACAGTCCTGTTCATCTTCCAAGGGAAGAGAAGCTGTTAAGTGCTTCCTGAAACCAAGCACCTTCGTGTGTTACCTGAGTCTCAGTCCTCACACTGTGAGGTGGTATGCTAGCCCCACTGTGCAGGCCAGGAAGGTATAGAAAAGTTACTAGCTTTCTCGAAGACAGCTGAAAGTGGCAGAGATGGGCTTTAGGCTGTATAAGCCAGGTTGGTCTTTTTCTTTTTTTCTGTTTGCTAGTAGTAGGGCTTGAACTCAGGGCCTTGTGCTTTCATTTGGCTTTTTCTGCTCACAGCCACTTGAGCCACATCTCCACTTCCAGCTTTTTGATGGTTCACTGGACATGAGAGTCTCATGGACTTTTGTGCCTAAGCTGGCTTCAAACCAGGATCCTTGGATCTCATCTTCCTACGTAGCTAGGATTATAGGTGTGGGCCATCAACACCCTGGCTCAGATCGGTCTTGGTACAGAAGCTCGGGGCCTGGGTGCCATGACCTCCATCTTGCCTCTTAAAACCACTTCCTCCATGAACTCTTCACTGTCACCCGGCTGTAAGTGATCCGCCTTGCTGATCTGCGACTTTGTCATCTTCACACTGCTCCCTGTTGTAGTGGTTAAGGGATTCCTGCTGTGGCCTGTGCTGGGTCCCCTAAGGTTTGAGGCACAGGTTGTGCAGTGTGTGCATCACCACTTGCACTTGGAAATTAGTTATTGGATTTTTAGTCGGCATAGCTGATGCAGCACTGCATTGTCCTCATTTGACACATGAATGGTTTATCGTCTTGGAAGTACTGTGCATGGAGCTTTGCCCCCACAAGCAGGCAAGGCTGGGGAACATGCAGGGTTTAGTGGTTTTGTTAATGGGAGTATTTGTGGGGTTGGTGGATGTACCCACTTGTCACATATGGCATGACAAAAGCATGACGTGTACTAGAGACTCTTCAAAGTAGGGGTTGGCAAACTGGCCTTTGAGCCAAATTCACTGAGGCCTTTGCAAACAACGTTGTTTTTTTGTTGTTGTTTTGTTTTTTTGTTTTTGCCCAGTCCTGGGGCTTGAGCTCAGGGCCCTGAGCTACTTTTTTGCTCAAGTCTAGCACTCTACCACTTGAGCCACAGTGCCACTTCTGGCTTTTTTTCTGTTTATGCGGTGCTGAGGCTTCATGCGTGCTAGGCAAGCACTCTACCACTAAGCCACATCCCCAGCCCCAAAGTTATTTTTTGTTTTGTTTTTTGTGTGGAGCGTGTGCGTGTGTGTGGAGTGTGTGCGTGCGTGTGTGCGTGTGTGTGTGTGCGTGCGTGTGTGTGTGCGTGTGTGTGTGTGTGTGTGTGTGTGTGCTGGTCCTGGTCCTGGGATTTGAACTTAGAATCCAGGCTTTGTCCCTGGGCTTTTTTTTACTTTTAGTAGTGGGGCTTGAACTTGGCTTGGGCTCTGTCCTTGAGCTTTCTGCTCAAGGCTAGTGCACTACCACTTTGTGCTACAGCTCTACTTCTGGTTTTCTGTTGGTGAATTGGAGATAAGAGTCTCAGACATTCCTTTCCTGCCTAGGCAGGCTTTGAACTGCCATCCTCAGATCTCAGCTTCCTGAGTAGCTAGGATGACAGGCATGAGCCACTAGCACCCGATATCTTGAGTTTTTTGCTCAAGGCTAACACTGTACCATGCCACGGCTGTACTTCTATCTTTTTTGGTGCTTAATTGGAGATGAATGTCCTACAGGCTTTCCTACTCAGGTGAGCTTTGAACTGTGATCTTCAGATCTCAGCCTCCTGAGTAGCTAGGGTTACAAGCATGAGCCACTGATGCCTGGTTGTAAATAGAACACAGCTACATCCATTAATTACGGATTTCTCATGGGTGCTTTCAGTGCCTGTGATCATGAGTCGACTAGCCATGACAAGACAGTAAGGCTTGCAAAACTGAAAATACTGTCAAGTTCTTACAGGAAAGTCGTCTTGTGTTCTCTGCTGTAAGGGAAGTAAGAGGTGCCCTGGGACAGCTTGAGGAGAGCTGTAGGAGCTCAGTGCAGAGGAGCATATGAGCTAGCTTTGGAAGATGAGTAGGAAATTACAGACAGATTAGGCGCAAAGGGTTCTGGGGAATGGGAACTATGTGGTCATCCTGGAGTGCTGCAAAATATCCCGTGTACTATGGTGGGCAAATCCAGTGTGGGAGAGAAGGAAGCAGCATTCTGGATGGGTAGATGGGCTAGATGTTGAGTTCATTGAAGTCAGTCAAGCAGGGTGCCTCCACCTACTTGAGTTGTAATCACAAGTATGCATTTCCAGGCTCCTGACCACTGAATTTGAAGAGGCAGGAGAATGCTCTGTAACCTGCTTTAAAAAAAAGGGGGGGGGGGGAGTAGATGGGAAGGTGGCTCAGTGGTAGAGCGCTTGCCTTGCATGCATGAGGCCCTGGGTTCGATTCCTCAGCACCACATAAGCAAAAAAGCCAGAAGTGCCGCTGTGGCTCAAGTGGTACAGTGCTAGCCTTGAGCTGAAGAGCTGAGGGACAGTGTCCAGGCCCAGAGTTCAGGCCCCACGACTGACAAAAAAAAAAGTATACCCCATATAATTCCAAAGGCCCATGGGCTACCACGGAGGAAAGGCAGGGAGCTAGAGACAGGTGCAGGTTTTCAGAGGGCCTGTTCCACAGAAAGTTTGTGTGAGGTGTCCTTCTGAAGGGGAAGGAAGGGTCTCCCAGGAGATCGCCTGGAGGAACAGTCCTAGACTTTTCCTGCACAGCAATTGACACACAGCAACTTCTTACTTGGTACTTGCTAACCAAGTAAAATGATATTCTTGGGTCTTGCATTTTACCTTATTGCATTATAAAGCACAACATGCAAACCATCTGTAAAGCTAGCAGAGGACTAACACATGAGTTCTCCGTCCCATATTCTGGTTTAACTTTTTTCCTTAACACTTTAAAATGTAAGAAACATTCTCAATTAAAGCCTCAGATATCAGCCACAGACTAATTTACTGGCCTCTGCTAGGCTGGTGCTCACTAAGTTGTAATTCCGCCAGGAAGCACAAGGCCATCTTCCAGGAAGCACAAAGGCCATCTTCCAGGAAGGAGGACTCTGAGCTCCGCTCCTTCCCCCACAGGGGCAGTGAGCAGCAGCAAGAAAAGCAGAGTTCAAATGTTTTTATGCCAGCACTGGGTAAGGAGATAGAATTCTTAAACTGTGACCCCTCTACCTTCTGCTTGCCAACAGTAATTAGCAGCGTGACTCCTTAGAAGGAAGACCACATGCAAGTGTTCTTCACTTTGTCTCAAGCAAGTCATCCCCAACCTTCTGGAGGCTCATCGATGGCTCATACTTGAATCCTGGCTACTCAGGAGGTGTCAGGGAAGCCTGTGAGACTCGTCTCCAATTAAGCACTAAAAATGCCAAAAGGGGAGATTGGCTCGAGTAGTAGAGCACTAGTCTTGAGCACAAAAGTTCAAGGACAGTACCCAAGCCATGAATTCAAGAGCTCAGACACTGGTATAGATAATTCCTTAGAAAACTTAGGGAACTCAAGGAATTTTTTTCAAGCCAGTGAATTTTTATTACTCACATGCTAAATATTACCCTGACAGCAAGAAATACCATTTGTCATTTTGTCAACTTTTTTCCTAAATCTTTTTGTCAGTACAGGGTTTGAACTCATGGCCTTGTGCCTGTTAGGTACTCTACTGCTGAGCCACACCTGTTTTTGTCAACTTTTACAGGTCATTCTGACATTTTTTTTTTTTGGGGGGGGGGGGGAGTCGGGTCATGGGGCCTGAACTCTGGGCTTGGGCGCTGTCCCTCAGCTCTTCAGCTTAAGGCTAGCACTCTACCACTTGAGCCACAGCGCCACTTCTGGCTTTTTTTTTCCTGCTTATGTGGTGCTGAGGAATTGAACCCAGGGCCTCAAGCATGCAAGGCAAGCGCTCTACCACTGAGCCACCTTCCCAGCCCCTCTGACATGTTTTAATTCTTCAAGACTTACTGCACATATGTTTGTTGTAGTTCTGTGACCTATCCCCAGGGCAGTTCATTACTAATCAGGTAATTAGTTAAGATTGACTAAAAAGGCAGAATGTAAATGTACTTTGTACTTCCATTTAGTTTTGGATTTGGAGTATTTGTCAACTGGGGGAGGGATTTTTTTGGAGGAAGAATCTGCATTTTAAGGGAAGGATTTTTGTTTCGATATTCTGTTGGATATAATTCTTTTGTGCAGCTGTGTGGGGGGGAGGGAGGTTTCAGCTTAGGGCCTCTCAGCCTTGTTGGGCTTCTTTGCTTGTTGGGCTGATGTTCTACCACTTGAGCCACACCTGTTTCTAGCTTTTTGCTGGCTGATTGGACATAAGAGTCTCAATATTTTAATTCTGAGATCTTAGCCTCCTGAGAAGCTGGGATTACAGGCATCAGCCACCAGTGCCCAACCCTTTTTGTTGTATAGCTTTAATCCCAGTGTAGTTTAGGAAGCATATCTCCAGCTCATGTTGGAGTATGTGTTACACGCTAGGTCTTTATAGTAGACAAGTGGTGCATTTCCTGCCTTTAAGGAGTTCATGTTTAGTGGCACACTATGTAGTGACTGCTTACAGAGCAAAATCAGTGTGTAGTGGGACAGAGGACTTGAGTCAGGAATGCAAGGAGATGTCTTTGAGAATGTGTCTTTGAACGACAGCAGAGAAGGACTTCCAGGTGGAAAGAGAAGGATATGGCCAAGGCAGGAAACTGCAGAGCTTGTATTGAAGGAACCAGGCAGCCCAGCTCTGCTGTTGAAGCGGGCTGTGGCTTGGGTTTGGTAGGCCCCTTTAGGAAATGGGGCCAGCAGACCATACCAGCATTTAGGTTCCATTGGCTAGGCAGAAAGAAGCCATCGTGCAATGGAGGAGAGATGTTATTTTAAGTTGGCTCTCAGGGGAGGAAGTTTGAACTATAGGAACAATGAGGGAAATGAAGAACGGGAACGTTAGCCCATTCTAGGATACATTGCACAGATCGTTAATAGAGTCAAAACTGCCCAATATGTCATGAACGCCTATAATCCCAGCATTTAGGAAGCAGAAACAGGATTGTGAGTTTGGGGCTATCTTGGGCTTCTTACTGAGACCCTGTCTCAAAAAAAACAAAGCCAGGCACCGGTGGCTCATGGCTGTAATCCTAGCTACAGCTACCAAGGAGGCTGAGATCTGAGGATTGAGGTTTAAAGCCTGCCCAGGCAGGAAACTGAAACTTTCATCTCCAATAAATTATTCAAAAAAGCTAGAAGTGGCACTGTGGCTCAAGTGGAAGAGTGCTAGCCTTGAGCAAAAGATGCTCAGGGACAGTGCCCAGGCCCAGAGTTCAAACTTCAGGACTGCCCCCCCCCCCCAAAAAAAAAAAAAAAAAATCAAGGCTAGGATGTGGCTCAGCAGTAGAGTGCCTACGTAGCAAGCTTGAGGTCCTAACCAAGATGAAGGAAATGAGCAGATTGAAGGGGGGAGGCGTGGACTTGGTGCTGGGTTTGAGGCATGGTCCTGCCGCCTGCAAGTGTTTTTGTATGGCGCTCCCTAGCCAGCCCAGGAAGGATGGCTGATTTGGGATTTGTATGTGTTGAACCTTGAGTGAGTGAGCTAAGCTTGAAAAAATTGCTGTGACTGTACTGAGAGTTTCCCACCTTGTCCTTGATCTCACCTCAGAGCATCCGGAGGCAAGTGGAACAGCTCTAATGGCGTTGAAGAAAAGGAGAGCTGGGCTGGAGAGGACGAACTGTTTGCAGTGGAAGGTAAACTGCAGATTCTCCTTGGCCTCCCCACACTTACGAAGTATACATGCATGGCCTCTCCTGTCCCTATTCCTGCCAACTAACTACAAAAGAGTTACAGCTGTCAACCTCGTTTTGATTCCTGTGGAGTCAGCTTCCCGTCCTGTCCTCTGTGTGCCGGCTGCGTGTGTGCGTATGTGCATGTGTGTACTAGGGTTTGAACTCCGGGTTATCCTTTAGCTTTTTCCTCTCAATGCTGGCACAGCTCCACTTCCGGCACTTTGGTGGTTAATTGGACGTAAGAGTGTCATAGACTTTACTGCCGAGGCTGGCTTCAAACCAAAATCCTCAGATCTCAGCCTCCTAAGTTGCTAGGATTACAGGAATGAACCATCGGAGCTTTACCTTTTAAGCAACAAATATGAAAGTGCCACTCCATGTTTAAATTCCTCAAGGTTCGTTTATCTTATTTTGTCTTGTTTTATCGGTCCTGGGGCTAGACGCTGTCCCTGAGCTCTTCAGCTCAAGGCTAGTGCTCTACCACTTGAGCCATAGTACCACTTCCAGCTTTTTCTGCTTATGTGGTGCTAAGGAATCGAACCCAGGGCCTCATGCATGCAAGGCAAGGGCTCTACCACTGAGCCACCTTCCCAACCCCGAGGTTCGTTTATCTTAATAAATCCTAGGAAGTTAGATGCCGGTGGCTAACTAGTCAGGTGGATGAACTCTAACAATCGCAGTTCAGAGCAGGAAAGTCCATGAGACTTACCTCCATTTAGCCACCTTATAAGGCTGGAAGTGGAGCTGTAGTTCAAGTTGTAGAGAATTAGCCTTGGGCATAAAAAGTCAGGGACAGCATCCACGCTGTGAGTTCAAACCCCATGTCTTGGGCATGCTAGGCAAGCACAATCATTGTTATGCCCCCAGCCCAAGTGAAAAAGTGTCAGCAATCTTATATACTTATACTACTTATCCCTAGTTAATACTAAACTCGTAGCATTTGCATCAGAATCTCTCCCAGCACCTCTTTTACCTTCTAATAATAATATCAACTGCTAAATCAACTTCCCGTGGGATTCTATAGCAACAATAATCCTTTACCAATCCCACAGTTTTGCCTTAAAAACATTCCTTCATTGCAAAGAGCAAGATCACATGGAAATGGAAGAAGTAACAGAATAACAATAAAAAGGCAACAGATAGTAAAAAAAAATTTTTTTTAGGTCTAGGAAGGTGGCTCAGTGGTAGAGCGCTTGCCTTGCATGCATGAGGCCCTGGGTTCAATTCCTCAGCACCACATAAGCAAAAAGAAAAAAGCCGGAAGTGGCGCTATGGCTCAAGTGGTAGAGCGCTAGCCTTGAGCTGAAGAGCTGAGGGACAGCGCCCAGGCCGAGTTCAGACCCCAGGACCGGACCCAAAAAAATTTTTTTTTAAATTTTTAAAGATTAAAAGGTTGTAGAAAATACCCATTTCTTAACACAGCGTCAGTCATCTGCTTCCGCTGTTAGGAAATATTTCATAAAAGCAGTCTAAGCATTCATCTTTTAGAGCCATCTTCCTTTGTTATTTGGGAAACATTACCAGGGCAGTGATTGCTGGGGCAGACGTCCCACAGGCTGCGCTTTTATGCATCTTTACCTCCTCAGTTTTTTAACTGGCTATAGTTGCTTGAAATGTCATGTTTTATACTTGTACATGTTTATATGATGTACACACAGAGTTGTCTTTTTTTGGGGGGCGGGGGCGGCTAGTTGTATGTAGTACTTGAGCTCAGGGCCTGGGAGTTGTTTTTGAGCTTTTTTGCTCAAGGCTATAACACTCTACCACTTTGAGCTATGCCACTTCAGGTTTTCTGGTGGTTAATTGGAGATGAGTCTCTCAGACTTTCCTCCCAGACTGGCTTTGACTGTGATCTTCAAATCTCAGCCTCCTGAGTAGCTAGGATTACTACAGGCATGAGGCATTAACGCCCAACTCTTTCTTTCTTCTAATGCTGGGATTGAACCCAGCGCCACACGTTAGGCAAGCTCTCTACCACTGAGCTACACCCCAGCCCTATATCAAGGTTTTAAATACGATGAATCCCTTGGTAATATCATAGAATAACAACTTCACTAAAAGGGTTGAAATCCATCTTTAACCAATATTTACTGAAAGCTCGTTTGTAAAGCACTTGCTTTGTACAAATTCTATGGGCTGAATGACTGTGTGTATAAACAGGACAGATTGAATTATTCTTTATTGATATCCTTTTTCTCCTCAATGTCTGCAGAATTTGTTTTGGTTTTGCACTGCTGAGGATTAACCTAAGGCCTTATTCACGCTAGGCATGTCCCCTATACTGAGCTGTGTCCCCAACCCTCTGTGTTTGTGAACTCAGAATCAGGTCTTCCCTTTGAGAACCATCTCTTTTTTCTTGTGTTTTTTGGTGGAGGAAGGTGAGCTCTAAAATGAATTTACTCTTAATGTTTTCCAGCAGCACCTGATGAAGACAGTACAACCAGTATAACAAGGAAGCAGGTAACCTAGACCTCTTTTGTGCTGCAAGTTTTGTAGGAAGAACAGAGGTAAAGGAAGTCCCTCTTCTCATAGGCAAAGACTGTCCATCATCTAATAAAAATCCCTTTTGAGAGAATTCAAATTAAGCTCAAGTAATAGTTCTGTAGAAGAAAAGTCTAGGCGGGGACAGCACCTGACACTTTCTGGAGCATGAACAACACTTGTGCATTTGGCGATTGGAACACAGAAGTGACTGTTAGTTGAGAAGGACATGGCAGGACATTGAACTCAGAAACCTACAGCCTGCTTTTTTGGGTTCTGATTCTTCTAAGGCTTTTGAGTTGTCCTCATCACTGTATTGGAGAAGATGTGACTAGTGATGAGTTTTGATGTCTTGGTTTTCTTTTGCAGAAGTGGACAGTAGAAGAAAGCGAGTGGATCAAGGCTGGAGTAGAGAAGTACGGAGAAGGAAACTGGGCTGCCATTTCTAAAAATTACCCCTTCGTTAACCGAACAGCTGTAATGATTAAGGATCGCTGGCGGACCATGAAAAAACTTGGCATGAACTGAAACAGGCATTGATTTCCACAGGATTTGCAGGAGCGTGGTTCTAACAATAGTCCCTGGTAGTCTGCTGTATGTTTCAGAAGCTGAGCTGGAAGGAGAATTTGGGGACAACCCCCTTCCAATATGATTAGGCCTCCATCCAACTCATCACTGTTGGAGATCATGGAGCTAAGAGGCAGAGGCAAACGTACCCCATGTCCTTGGCAGAGAACAGGCACACTGCTTGTACTGTGCCAGAGTATCACTAGTGTTTCCCTTTAGTGGTTTGCTTACATTTGAAATCCCCACTAATCTGCAGAGCCTTCTCCTAGGAAAAGATGAAGTCCAAGAGGAGCCACATAGGATGCCATGATCTGTGAAAACCAGCAATGTGAGCATTATCTGAAATGAACTTGTTCCATATGGAGTTTTGGCCTTGTAATGCAGACGCGAAGGAACTCTGTCTGTGATGAGCCCAGGTTAATGACAGACCAGTCCTCATGGAATCAGATTCCTTTTAAAAACTGTTTCGCCACTCGTGACGTCAACCCTAGGCCTGACTGCCTTGGCATTTGCTCTAAATATGTGCTGAGCAACATCGGCGGGTTTGTCCTCCACTTGTTGTGGTTGAACCAGTGTGGTTTTTTTTTTTTTTTTTGGTAAAATGGTGATTGTACATAAGCTTAGTTCCCCTACCTGCCCCCTCCTTTCTCAGTTTCTTTCCTTATGCTGGACTTTAAAAGCTTAAAAAAAAGTCCTGGCTGAATATAAATGCCTAATTCCATTCTTTGTGAAATGGTTGCTTCTGTCCCCTCCCTAATTGTGCTGTTAGTGTCTTGTACTGGGGTTCAACATTCCCTTCTCCTTTTGTACTGTGTCGTGCTTGCTGTCAGACATCCCAAAAGACTGTCTTTTTAGCAAAAAATTTCAGTAAAGTGTTTTCTGTAATCTTTTTTAAAAATGGGAGCTAATTATTGTCAATACTTGTAGCATTCTTCATTAAAGTCTTGCTTCTCTCCAATAGAAGTAGCTGATTAATTGCAGCACAGCTTGTGTTCCTGAATGGAACAGGAAATTGTTGAACAAACTTGACTCAACTCTTTTAAGAAACTGCTATACGCCAGGTGCTGGTGGCTCACACCTGTAATCCTTGCTACTTTGGAAGCAGAGATGGGAGAATCAAGCTTCAAAGCCAGCCTAGGAAGACTGAGAGACTCTATCTCATTTAACCGGCAGAAAAACAGAAGTGGAGGTGTTGCTCAACTGGTTGAATGCCATCCTTGAGCGAAGAAGCCAAGTGAGAATGCAAGGCCTTGTGTTCGGGCCCCAATGCAGGCACACACACATACTACTGTGTGCTGATCTTTGCAAGCCAGATCAAATAGTCGTTATAGACATTTTGTCTTATTTGTTCATTTCCTCATGCAACATACTTTTCCTAGAGACTATAAAGCATTCTCTCTTCCAGATGTCACAAGTTAGAACATCTGCCTAGCTTTGTTGCCTGTCAACTGTGTGTTAGGGTTTGGTACTACTTTTCTCTCACCCAACCCCAGATGAACCACAGGGAGGGAATGCTTACAATTGCTTGTGCCAGTTGTACACACAGGCCACATGAGTGACCGCTTTTCTTGCCTGTCTTGCTGTTAGGATGTGCTCAGGGCAGAAGGATGAACTTACAATGCATCTAGGGAGGCAGAATTCCCTAGAGGGTGTTTGTCAGACTTGAGGTAAGAATGGGTTTCATGAACATTTCCTCACTGGACCTTATGAAAGCATTAATGAATATGTACAGTCACAGATCTGTGCTTTGGCTCCATCTGAGCAATGAGGAGGCCAGAGGTGCCTGTGTCCTGGCTAAAAGGTCAGCTCTCCTGCCTTCTCATCAGCAAGACTGCTGGAGCTGCCAAAACCCATGTGCCGGGTGCCATCTGGCTTCCGCTGGCCTCTGGGAATTCTCTACTTAGCTGTGATGAATTAATGTGAACTCAGGAAACGTTCCAGATGTAATGAACTAGTGCAGTTTGGCTTTTTAAAGAGTGAAATAGGGCTGGGAATGTGGCTTAGTGGTAGAGGGCTTACCTAACATGCATGAAGCCCTGGGTTTGATTCCTCAGTACCATATAAACAGAAAAAGCCAGAAGTGGTGCTGAGGCTCAAGTGGTAGAGTGCTAACCTTGAGCAAAAGAAGCTCAGGGACAGTGCCCAAGCCCGGATGGACTTGAGCCTTAGGACTGGCCAAAAAGGAAAAGGTGAAATAAAAATGTTTGCAATCTAGGCATGATGGTGCATGCTGTAATCCCAGCATTTAGGAAGCTGAGGCAGGGGGATCGTGAGTTCCAAGCTAGCCTGAGACACACAATGAAGTGCTATGTCCAAGCCAGGCATCAATGGCTCACGCCTGTAATCCTAGCTACTCAGGAGGCTGAGATTTGAGGATCGTGGTTCAAAGCTAGGCCCAGCAGGAAAGTCTGTGAAACTTCTTATCTCCAATTAATCACCAGAAATCTGGAAGTGGCGCTGTGGGTCAGGTGTTAGAGCACTTGCCTTGAGCTAAAGAGCTTTGGGACAGCGCCCAGGCCCAGAGTTCAAGCCCCACGACCGACAACAACAAAATGATATCTCCAAAAAGCGGGGGGGCGGGGGGGCTAGTTAGGGGTTTTTAGCTCAGTGGAAGAGCAAGGCCTTATGTTCCATCCTCAGCTCTAAAGTTTAAATATCAGTTCAGGCTTACAGCTTGAAAACACTAGAACTTAACAGTGGACCTCCACACGGCACCTCCCTTAGTGCTGCTGTGGAATGAGAAGAGAATGTCAATTTCTTAGCTAGGTGCCTACCATGACATCAGTGGTATTGATATCTTGAGTAAAAGAAGAAGAAAAAAAGACCAATAGTAGGGGATTTTTGTTTTGTGTGGGTGCTGGGACTTGAATTCAGGGCCTCCTGCTCTCACTTAGCTTTTTTGCTCAAGGCTAGGATTATAGACATGAGCCACAGTGCCTGGCCAACAACCAACAACCCAAACCTTCAAGTAGGTTTTGGGGTTTTTTTTGCTGGTGTGGGGCTTGAACTCTGGGCTTGGGCGCTGTCCCTCAGCTCTTCAGCTCAAGGTGAACGCTCTACAGCTTGCTTGAGCCACAGCGCCACTTCTGGTTTTCTAGTGGTTTATTGGAGATAAGAGTCACAGACCTTCCTGCCTGGGCTGGCTTTGAACTGTGATCCTCAGATCTCAGCCTCCTGAATAGCTAGGATTACAAGTGTGAGCCACAAGCACCTGGCTTCCGGTTTTTGTTGTTGTTTGTTTTTGTTCTGCCAGTCCTGGGGCTTGAACTCAGGGCCTGGGCACTGTCCCTGAGCTTCTTTTGCTCAAGGCTGGCACTCTACCACTTGAGCCACAGCACCATTTCTGGCTTTTTCTGTTTATGTGGTATTAAGGAATTGAATCTAGGGCGTTATGTATGCTAGGCAATCACTTTACCACTAAGCCACATTCCCAGCCCTTCAAGTAGGTTTTGAATAGCTTTAAATAAATATAGTCATAAGCCGGAAGTGACACTGTGGCTCAAGTGGTAGAGCGCTCGCCTTGAGCTGAAGAGCTGAGGGACAGCGCCCAGGCCCAGAGTTCAGGCCCCATGACTGGACCCAAAAAAAATTAAAAAAATAATATAGTCATGTGGAAGTTGGCAGAAGAACTCTGAAGGAGGCTGACCACTGTCTTGTTACTCTGTTCATTAAAACTCCATTGGGTGCGTCGGTACATGCCTTTAATGCCTGCTACTTACAAGGCAGTAGGTAGATCATGGTATTGAGACCAGCCCTGGAGAAAAGCAGGACACTACAAAGAGAAAGGACTGGGGGACATGGCTCAAATGGTGGAGCAAAGCCTTAAGTGTACCCGCTTTTTCTCTTCACTTCTTGCTGGGCTTTGCTCTGAGCTGCTGCATTGGGCACGTTGACATGAGTTGTCCTATAGGCACAATAGGTCTCATAGCTAACTTTTGTCAGTACATAAATGTACTCACCCAAATAATCCCCATGAAACAAGAATCCCCCCAAAAACTCAAAAGAATGTATAGAAAATTCCTCCTCCAATGGTTTATTTTTTTGTCTGTCATGGGCCTTGAACTCAGCGCTGTCCTTGAGCTTTGGTGCTCAAGGCTAGTGCTCAGCCTCTTTGAGCCACTTCCAGCTTTTTGGTGGTTTATTGAAGATAAGCGTCTCATGGACTTGGACTACCCTAGCTGGCTTCAAACCATGATCCTCAGATCTCAGCCTCCTGAGTAGCTAGGATTACAGACGTGAGCCAGCAGCGCCTGACTATTAGGCAATCTCTTATGTCCAGCCCTGAGAGTGTCTGGCATGTGACTGTGGAGTTAACGATTAGCCCTGCGCTTGTCTGAATGACCTAGTCTGGCAGACTGCGGTCTCACCTGCAGAGGCCTCTACAGGTCGCAGCATGGCCCCTTTGCCCCTCAGAGTTGGGCTGCTGGTGCTGAGTCTTGTTCATTATGTTGGAAGCCAAATGACAGAACCCCAGAGTGGTTCTGGGGACCAGCCACTCCTCCGTGGAGGTGACAGACATGACTTTGCCGTCATGATCCCCATAGGAGATTCCGAGTGCTTCTGGCAGTTTGCCCACCAAAACGGCTATTTCTACTTCAGCTATGAGGTACGTGGCTTCCTCTGTTTATGTATACTGCAGACTTTTCTTTCGTCCTTTGGAAAATGAGTCATGTGTTAGACCAAACCAAAGGCTGGTTGTCCCCACCTGCTAACAGTGGCAGCTCACAGATTGGGTGAATTGTCACCATCAGGAGACAAAGCATATGCTTAGCCCCTCAAACGGTGCTCTTCCCGTTAACCGTCCCCTTAGTGCCTGTGTGAGAGTACAGGAGGAAGAATATGTTTTTTAAATGGTTAAGACAACATAGATGATAGTATGAGGTCAAGTGAACTTCAGTGATTGACCCAGATGTCAAAGAAAGTGACTTTAGTGAATCAGGTTAGGGGCAAAACATCTGCTCTCGTTTTAGTGGTTAACTTGGGCCAGCTGGAGAACCTCTGGCTCAAGGCTTCTTCGTGCAGCAGATAATCCTGCAGCTTTCAGGAAGGTGAATCGTTCAAGTCACCAGTTTCTCACTTTTGACACTGCCCAAGAATGGTGAGCTTAATTAAACTTAAGCTGCTCTTTTTGTTATTTATTTATTTATTTTTTTGCCAGTACTGAGGTTTGAACTCAGGGCCTCGAGCTTCCTCTGCAACTTTCCTTTGTTCTTTATCTTAAAAACATGTGCACTTTTTCATTTTTTTGGGGGGGGGGGTCGGTTGTGGTGGGGGCTTGAACTCTGGGCCTGGGTGCTGTCAGCTCAAAGGAAGTGCTCTACTACTTGAGTCACAGCGCCACTTCTGATTTTCTGATGTTTTATTGGAGCTAAGAGTCTCACCGACTTTCCTGCCCGGACTGGTTTTGAACCATGATCCTCAGATCTGAGCCTCCTGAGCAGCTAGGATTACAGGTGTGAGCCACTAGCACCCGGCTTACTTTCTAATTTTTTATAGACACAGTAATGAACCACTGTCAATCTGGTTCCACTCTACTAGAACTTGGAGTGAATTCATCAGAGGTTTTTGAATCTAAATTAATGTTAGAACAATAGCTACAAGTCAGCGTGCTGTAGCTAGAGCTTGTGAAGTTCCAATTTAGCAACAAGCATTCTGGTTGTGTCTGCAGCAGAAAACGCCACATCTGGAATGCCACCAGAGTTCAGCCACCAAGCCAGTCCAACCAATCACTCCACGGGCAGAATTGTACCTATCAAATGATCACATCAGCAGTGTGGGTCGAGACTGAAGGGCGGCTGTGGGCACTCTGGGCAATTTTTATTATTTATTTATTTTTTGCTGGTCCTGAGGCTTGAACTCTAGGTTTGGCCACTGTCCCTGAGCTCCTTTTGCGCACTCTACCACTTGAGCCACAGCACCACTTCCAGCCTTTTCTGTGATTTAATTGGAGATAAGAGTCTCATAGACTTTCCTGCCTGGGCTGGCTTCCAACATCGATCCTCAGATCTCAGCCTCCGGAGTAGTTAGGAACCATCCATACTCACGCTGGGCTGCTGACTGAGGCCAATGACCATGGCGTGTCCGTCTTGTAATGTAGCTGGTTTCTTAGCCATGTAATGAGCCTTTTCTTCCTCCTGAATGGGATTTATTGGCAGGTTCAACGGACCCTCGGGATGTCACATAACCGCCATGTTACTGCGACGGCCCACACCCCGCAGGGGTTTCTCATAGGCACCTCCATGGATGTTCGGGGCCAGATTAACTTCGTTACCCAAGAGACAGGTCTGTTCTCCCAAGGGCTACTATAATTCGCAGGCTCTGTGACTTAGGGAAATGAAGTAGAAGGGAAAATTCAGCCTTCAACACTGAAACCGTGAGATCAGAGATATCTGGGACATCAGCTGGCCACCCACTGGCAGTTTGGGGCCAGGGCCTCAAGGTGACCGTTCAAACTCCCAGGCCCAGAATATCAGTTGTAATACAGAAATTCCATTTACTAAATTATCAAGTCACATTTCCAGTCATCAGAACACATGCGTCAGCCACTGCCAGAAGCAGCGTCAGAATATGTGGGGATCCACAAGCCGTAACGACACAGCTGCTTCTCCAGAACCTTCCTGTAGCCAGATCAAGGCCATCCCATGGGCAGCACGCCTGCTCTAACTGTCCTCTTTCCTAGCCAGGTGTTCTGGAGAAGTCCAGGCCATTGCTTTCCCCAGATAGTCCTTCAGTGGACACATATGTTTGTGTGTGTGTGTCGGTCGTGGGGCTTGAACTAGGGCTCAGGATAGCTTCCAGGTCCTGAGTTCAAGCTCCAAAACTAACACACACACACACACACACACACACACACACACACACACACAGACACACACACACACACACACACAGACACACACACACACACACACACACACACACACGGGGGCAGGGTGGGGGGGAGGGGGCAGGGTGGGAGGGAGGGAGGAGATGGGGAAAGGGAGGGAGAGGGAGAGATTTTGACAGACCTGGGGCTTGAACTCAAGGCCTGGGCACTGTCCCTGAGCTTCATTTGCTCAAGGCTAGCGCTCTACCACTTGAGCCACAGCACCACTTCTGGCTTTCTCTGTATGTGGTTCTGAGGAATGGAACCCAGGGTTTCATGTATGCTAGGCAATACCACTGACCACCTTCCCAGCCAATTCCACTCATTTTTAACTTCAAAAACTGTCACAGCTTTATAATTCTACAACCACATTCACTCCCAGCCTTCCAGCACCACATACAGGGAGGCATGAGGACACTAGTGTCCTCTTCAAAATACCTTAACAGAGCCCCACACCACTGTCCAGCCCTGGCTATTTATTCAGGGCCAGAGCTTTACCACTTGAGCCATGCCTTGAGTTCCAAATATTTTGAATTTCAACTCAATCTGCTGAGTAGGATTCCCTTAACAAGTGTTGTAGGAGTTACATATGTGTATGTAGTTAATGTTTCCTGCCCATCATAGAACAAAAGATACTGATACTTTTTTTTTTTTTCAGTCATGGGCTTGAACTGTGGGCCTGGGCGCTGTCCCTGCACTCTTCAGCTCAAGGCTAGCACTCTACCACTTGAGCCTCAGCGCCACTTCCAGTTTTAGAGTGGTTTATTGGAGATAAGAGTCTCACGGACTTTCCTGCCCAGGCTGGCTTTGAACCACAGTTCTCAGATCTCAGCTTCCTAAGTAGCTAGGATTACAGGCATGAGCCACCCGTGCCTGACTTAAAAAGATACTGATACTTATCAAAATGTAATTATTACTAATACTGAGCAAAAGAAGCTGGATGTCAAGTCGGCATCCTAAATGAAAGAGTGCTGTTGCCGGGACACTGGTGGCTCACGCCTGTAATCCTGGCTACTAGGGAGGCTGAGATCTGAGGATTGGGGTTCGAAGCCAGCCTGGGCAGGAAAATACGTATGACCTTTTTTTTTTTTGGTCAGTCATGGGGCCTGAACTCTGGGTCTGGGCTCTGCCCCTCAGCTCAAGGCTAGTGCTTTACCACATGACCCACAGTGCCACTTCTGGCTTTTTCTGCTTATGTGGTGCTGAGGAATCGAACTCAGGGTCTCATGCATGCAAGGCAAGCACTCTACCACTGAGCCATCTTCCCAGCCCTCTGTGAGACTCTTATTTCCAATAAACCACTAGAAAACCAGAAGTGGCGCTGTGGCTCAAGCGGTAGAGGGCTTGCTCGCCTTGAGCTGGAGTGCAGGGACAGCATGTTGTAGTGGGGTTTGTTTTTTGTTTTTTTTTGTCGGTTGTGAGGCTTGAACTCTGGGCCTGGGCACTGTCCCCCAGCTCTTCAGCTCAAGGCTAGCGCTCTAGCACTTGCGCTACAGTGCCACTTCCGGTTTTCTAGTGGTTTATTGGAGATAGGAGTCTCACAGTCTTTCCTGCCCGGGCTGGCTTTGAACCTCACTCCTCAGATCTCAGCCTTCTGAGTAGCTAGGATTATAGACGTGAGCCACCGGCTTCTGGCTGTAGTCGTTATTTTATTTTGGTGCCCATATTAGAGCTTGTACTTGGGGCCTGGACACTGTCCCTTACCCTTTTCACTTAATGCTAATACTGTACCACTTGCTCACCTTGGCTGGCTTTGAACTGCCATCCTCAGATCCCAGACTCCTGAATAGCTAGGATTATAGGCAAGACCACTGGCACCTGGTTTTTTAGGGTGAATTAAAACTGAAGAAGAGACAGGTACTGGTGGCTCACTCCTGTAATCCTAACTACTCAGGAGGCTGAGATCTGAGGATCAGGGTTCGAAGCCAGCCCAGGCAGGAAAGTCTATCAGATTATCTTTTTTTTTTTTTTGTCGGTTGTGGGGCTTGAACTCTGGGCCTGGGCACTGTCCCTGAGTTCTTCAGCTCAAGGCTAGCACTCTACCACTTAAGCCATAGTGCCACTTCCAGTTTTCTGGTGGTTGTTTGGAGATAAGAGTCTCATGAACTTTCCTGCCCCTGCTGGCTTGATCCTCAGATCCATGAGATTCTCTCCAACTAATCACAAAAAAAGCCAGAGTGGAACTGTAGCTCAAGTGGTAGAGCTCTAGTCTTGAACAAAAAGAGCTTAAGGACAGCGTCCAGGCCCAGGGTTCAAGTCCTAAGACCAGCAAAACAAACAAACAAATCTCCAAAACAACCAAAACTGGGGAACAAATCATATATGGTGGCACATGCTTAAAATCTCAGTAGTCACGAGACCGAGGCAGGAAGATGACAAGACCAAGTCTGCTTGGGCTTTGTAGTGATGGTCTGTCTCCAGACAAATAAATCAAACAAACCTGGGGTCAGGTATGTCTAGGGGAGCTGTAACACAGGGTAAGAGATCTAGAGTAATGATCTAGAAATTCCTGCAGGTTTCTATCAGCTTTGTGTAGGAAATGACCAAAATCACTTTGGTTCTGCACAAGTATACCTCAACTTCGGCATCTTTTATGAGGGGCCTGAGATGGACCACAAACAGAATCAAAGGAAGCAATTGAACGATACTCTGGATGCAATTGAGGTAAAGGAGTGTTTTGTGTTAAGAGGGACATTCATGGAGTGGATTAAATTTGGAGGAAAGCTGAAAAATTACACAATATCCACCGAGTGAAGCATCATGAATAGAAAGAAAAAGCAAGGGTATCTGAACTCTTTAATGCATTTTTGATTAGGAGCTCTTAAAATCCCTCCTGTTTTATGCCAGGAGCTGGCAAACTACCGCTCATAGGCCAAGTCTGGCCCACTGCCTAAATTTTACAAACCTGAGATACAATTACATTGTCTTATCATCTAAAGTGCACAACTCAAGGTGTACACTCCAATAGTATATTTAAAAGGTTTATGCAGCAATTCCCAGCAGCTAACCCAGAATAAAGAAGCCTCACGTGATGTGCTGGGCTAGGCACGTGGCTCAAGTGAGTGATGAGTGCCTGTCTAGCAAGCCTGAGACCCAATTTCAATTCCCAGTACCAAGAGAAAGTGGGTAGGGGAGACGGGTACTGGTGGCTCACACCTGTGATCCTAGCTCTTCAGGAGCTGGAGATCCAGAGGATCACAGTTTGAGGCCAGATGGGAGGGAAGTATGTGAGAATCCATCCCCAAAATAACCAGCAAAAAGTAGGGCTGGGGGACATAGCCCAAGTGGTATGTCCAAGCCATTCAGGAGGCTGAGACCTGGAGGATCATGGTCCCAAACCAAACTGGGGGTGGAGGGGTGGGGGGAAGGGGACTATAAGACTCCATCTCTAATTAACCAACAAACTGCCAGGCCAAAGGTGTGGGTAAAATGGTGGAAGACCAGCTGTGTGGCTCAGTGTTTAGAGGCTTGCCTTGCATGCATGAGGCCCTGGGTTCGATTCCTCAGCATCACATAAGCAGAAAAAGCCGGAAGTGTCACTGTGGCTCCAGTGGTAGAACACTAGCTTTGAGCTGAAGAGCTGAGAGACAGCACCCAGGTCCAGAGTTCAGGCCCCACGACCGGCAAAAAAAAAAAAAAAAAAAGAAAAAAATAATCCAATCACCCACCAAAAAACCCAAACTATAAACTATTTCTCACTACAACATAAGTATCATTTACCAATAACTGTAGTAGAATTATGAAACTTAAAATCCCGAGTAAACTCCTTGACTTTCCAGGTAATGTAGGTTACTGTGCCACACAACCAGGGCATAGAAGGGAGAGGGTGATGGCAAGAAGACATTTATTTTATCATCTCCCCACAGCAGAGTACAAGGAAGGTGCAGAACAATGTTTTTCACACATGGCGATTCTACAACTTTGCCCGGATGAGGAAAATGGCTGACTCTTTCCTTCTCCAATCAAACTACACCTATGTGAACAGGTGGTCCACAGTCCAGAGCCTTGTTATCATTCTTTCTGGGCTCCTGCAGCTGTATTTCTTGAAGCGTCTCTTCAATGTGTCATCGACTACTGACACAAAGCCTAGATGCTAAGCTAAGCTGACTTTTCTTCAGGGGTAACAAAGCTTGTTATTGGAGTAAAACAATTTAGTGCTTTTATCTATTGTGCTCATCAATAAAGGCAAAATGGCAATAAACCAGTACAAATGCTGAGGGTGCTGAGGTTACTGTGTTTAAAGTATGTGATAAACACCATACAGTGGTCTTAGCTTCTCTGAGATACCACAAAACTATGGCAGAAAGAAGACCTGACAAAGATGGGACAAAGCCCAATTTGTTTATGGAATAATAGGAGTTGGTAAGAGGGCCTTTTTACTTTGAAAAATGTTTAATTATAGACACAATCTTTGGAATTAAAGATTAGTATATGCACGCAAGATTTTTTAAAAATATAACACAGGTTGTTTCCTAGAAATAATCTAATAGTACGGGAAAGGACAGCAGGAGCTAATCTTATTTCAGGGTCTCTTGAGTACTTTGTTCAATCTACCAGGAAGTATGAAATCAGTGATTAAACACTTCAACCTAGGATTATCCCATTCACGATACAAAACACCATGTAAAAAGCAAGGCAATATACTAATAGAAATATATGTAATATAAAAATAGCATTTATTTTAGACTGACCACATGCCCAGCACTGTGCTAGATGCTTTATAATCACCATTGCTGTTTCTAAAACAATAAAAAAAATTAAGTGTTGATGACAAAAGTCAAGTTGTACATCTCTTTTTTGTTGTTGAGTTGTGGGGCTTGAACTCAGGGCCTGGTGCTGTCCCTGAGGTTTTGTGCTCAAGGCTAGTGCTCTACCACTTAGAGCCATAGCGCCACTTCTTGTTTTCTGGTGGTTAATTGGAGATAAGAGTCTCATGAACTTTCCTGCCCAGGCCGGCTTTGAACCATGATCCTAAGATCTCAGCCTCCAGAGCAGCTAGGATTACAGGTGTGAGCCACTGGTACCTGGCTCAAGTTGCACATTTTATAAACACATCAAGAGTGACTGATTTAAGACCACTAAGCTGGCCGGCAGCAGAAATGGGGTTTTAATCCAAGCTTTTCTTCCATACATTTTCTATACAGTACTAACTATATAGGAAAACTATTTTATCTAAATTTCATTTGTAGAGTGGCCTACTATTTTTATATAGCAACGTCTTTTCTTGCATGTTATTAATCACAACAAAGAAAATGAACAGTGCTATCACAGATAACAATAACTCCTCTTGTCCTGGTTCAACAATTTAGGACTTACTACTCAGAACAAGAAGCCTTGATTCAAGTACAGAATAAGAACATTCTATTTCATCAAAAATATAAAATCTGAAACCCCACTTCTTACTTTTGGATTTTTGAGTCAAGCTCAGGCTTGTTTTTTATCTGATTCTCCACTTTTGAGCCCTTTCTGTAGAGTATGAATCCAGCCTGCACTTGTCGGCACTAGAAGATCAAAGTAAGAAGTCTCCACGGAAGTCAGTGTTGATAAAGCCCAACAGGATGGAGGCATCTGCACAGACACTGGAAACAAAGCTAGGTCCTTCCACATCCATCCTTGGGATGACTTCACATTAAGTCAACGTCTCTTCATGCCGTACATACTCCCCAATGTCCGCCTGATGAAATACCACAATTGCCATGGGGTCTACTTTCCTGCAGTCTTGTGTAGACTTGGCTGCTACCCCAAAACCCTGAGATTCAAAAAAAAAGAGAAAGAAACACTAATTCACTTATTTACTAAGCCAATGCTGTGGGCTGGAAATTATAACATAGTTTTTAACTCATGTTTGTAAAGAAAGTATTTTGAACCATGCCACTAATGAAAAGAAATCCTATGTAAGAAAGTGCATGCTTATTTCTGGAGTTTAGATCAAAGTTTTACACTCCTCAGGTGCTCTACACTTAAACCCTACCCCCTTCTTCTTTTTTTACCATCGGTCGTGGGGCCTGAACTCTGGGCTTGGGCACTGTCCCTGCACTCTTCAGCTCAAAGCGAGTGCTCTACCACTTGAGCTTCAGTGCCACTTCCAGTTTTCTAATGGTTTATTAGAGATAAGAGTCTCACAGACTATCCTGCCCGGGCTGGCTTTGAATGGAGCTCCTCAAATCTCAGCCTCCTGAGTAGCTAGGATTACAGGTGTGAGCCACTGGAGCCCAGCTCCTATCCCCTTCTTTGTATTTAATTTACTTGCCAGTCCTGGGGCTTGAATTCAGGGCCTGGGTGTTGTCTCTCAGCTTCTTTTGCTCAAAGTTGGTATTCTATCACTAGAGCCACAGCCTATTTCCAGCTTTTTGTGTGTGTGTGTGGGGGGGGGGGGGGGGGGGGGAGGGATGTAATTTATTGGCAATAAGAGCCTCACAGACTTTCTTGCCTGAGCTGGCTTCAAACTATGATCCTCAGATATCAGCCTCCTGAGTAGCTAGGGTTACAGAGGTGAGCCACTGGTGCCTGGCTTTATTTTTCCTAGATAAGGTTTCCCACTTCTGCTTAGGGCTGGTCTGAGAATTTCCTTCTCCTACCTATGCCTCCTGTGAGGATGGTATGAACCACCACAGCTGACCATCTTTACAGTGCTGGGTTCTACCAGCACTGGTACGGCCTACTGCTGGGAAATTAGAAACAAATCTGAAATCATGTCCTTTTAATTGTATTCTCTACTATTATAGATATACAACAGTACTACATCTGGCTTTATACATAGTAGCAACAGTGCTTTATGAGAGCTGTTTATGATTACATTGTTCTAGAATGCTTTCTTTCCAGATGATGACTGAATTTTGCTGTATTCTGGTGTTTAAATGTGGGATGCTGAAATGTCTTTGTGATTTGATTATGTGGTACTGAGGAATGGAACCTAGGGTTTTATGCATGCTGGGTAAGTACTCTACCACTAAACCACATTCCCAGCCCAATACTGGTCTTCTTAATACAATCATATACGTAGAATTTCAATTTTTGCAAAATTTAGTTGTACTATAAATTTGGAGAAAAAAAAAGTATCCCATTTTAATGGGTTGAACTGGCATTGTACAGAAGTGAATAGCCATAATGGAACAGAAATGAAAAACCTAACCCTTTTCCAACCATACAGGGTAATGTTCTATATTAAATATTGGCAGACTTAGGTACATGCTTGGTTCCAGAAACTAGAAGTCCTTCCTAGAAGTTCCCAACTCTACTCACCAAAGGGACATCTGCCATGGAGTACACCACCACTCCCTGGTACTGAGAAGTATTTTCAGTGATTCGACCCAAACCAGATTTCAACACGTGGTTTCCATACAGGAAGGACTGCTCTGCTCCAGGCTTTATCCACACTTTATACTGAAAGACCAGAATGAAAATCAAACAACAAAAAAGATGCTAGTGGTTAATTATCTCTCTGCAGGTAAATCAGCTGCTGATGTTGTGCCTGGAGACAGACATGAAAGGAGGGAGGATGAAAGGGAGAAGAGAAAGGTGTTCATTCCCTGAACACACTGCCATTAAGTTCTTCCCTCAACTCTACAAGCCATTTACCTTCCTGGACTTATTAACAGTTCTTTTTCTTCTTCTTCTTCTTTTTTTTTTTTTGGTGTCAGACCTGGGACTTGAAATTAGGGTTTGGATGCTGTCCCTTTCTGTTCAACACCAGTGTTCCACACACTTGAGCCACAGCTTCACTTGCTGATTTTTGGTGGTTAACTGGAGATGTCTTACAGATCTGCCTGTCTAAACTGGCTTCAAACCATGATCCTCAGGTCTCAGCCTCCAGAATACCTTGGATTTACAGGTGTGAGCCACTGGTGCCTGGCAGCCTTTTTTTCTTGCACTCTGATGCTGTCCTCATTCCAACTACTTATCTATTACTCTCCGGTATTGAGCCGGGTCCGCACGTGTTGATTCTGTTGGGCTAATTACACCAGCAGCTGGCTGGGCACTCCAGCACCATCGCTCTAACCATGCCCATCCATGCTGCAAGCCCTACAGACATATCCGTCTGCTTGGCAGTGACAGGAACCGCATGGCCCGCTGTCCAATCAGTCATCTGTGTTCTGATCTAGATGGGGCCTCATCCCCTGTGGCAAGATGTAGAGAAGTCACTCCACAGACCTTAGCATAGGGTGCAAGGAAATCCAGAGCTGTAACGTGCAGGCGGAACTTGTGGGTCTTCGTGAATTTTCCAAAGCAGGTCCCCAGCGACACCAGCTTGTCCCCAGAGATGTTGGCGGCCAGCTTCAGGATCTTCTCACTGCAAAGCACAAAGGCAGTCGCGGGTGAGGGGAGGCGGAGGGACCGGGCTCCCGGCCAGCCCCGCGCCCCCCGGCTCCGGCTCACCTCACGTAGTACACTCGGTCGTTGTGCAGCCGGAAGCAGTAGGTACCGTCGGGCCTGTCCACCAGCAGCTGCAGATTCTCCCCGATGCTGGGGGCAAAGACGGGGCTGGAGGCTGCGCCCGAGAGGCCTCGCCCGCCCCCAGCCATCCACGCCCGCCCGACACCCACCGCCTCGTCCCCCTCCCGCCATCCTACTATTTCGCGATCTTCTCGAACATCACCCGGGTCTCCTCTTCAGTCAAAGGCCGCATCTTGCCGCTGGGTCGGACCACCGGATCCTCGTGCCTCGGGAACCGGAAACGGAAGTCGACTGCCAGCTGCTCCCTGGCAACCCTAAAGCCGGCCTCTCTAGCCTCTTCCTAGTCGGTTTCTCACACGGCTGCCCCCTAGCGGGGAGGACCGCCGGCGGGTGTGCAACCATAGAGACCGGAAGTGGGTTCCTGTTACTTCCGTTCCTACGTGCGGAGCCGGCGCCCTCGCTGGTGTGGACGGGGAAGTCACCGGGCTGCTTGGAAATGGCGGCGGTGGAGACTGTCCCCACTTCGACTACGGCGTCGGCCCTTGGGGAGGTGGAGGATGAGGGTCTGCTGGCGTCGTTGTTCCGGGACCGCTTCCCCGAGGCCCAGTGGCGGGAGAGGCCCGATGTGGGCCGCTACCTCCGGGAGTTGAGCGGCTCGGGGCTGGAGCGGCTGCGGCGGGAGCCGGAGCGCCTGGCGGAGGAGCGGGCGCAGCTGCTGCAGCAGACGCGGGACTTGGCCTTCGCCAACTACAAGACCTTCATCCGCGGCGCTGAGTGTACCGAGCGCATCCATCGCCTCTTCGGCGACGTGGAAGAGGCGCTCGGCCGCCTGCTGGGCCGCCTGCCCGGCTTCCAGCAGAGCTGCAGGTGGGCGGGCCGGCGCCCGGGCTCCTGACCCGACAGCTCACGCCCGCCGAGCGTCCGACTCTTTAGTAGCCCGTTGAAACACTGAAAAGAGGCAGCTTAACGTATATGCACGTTTCTGTGGCTATACACACATATGTATACACACACACTTATAATAGTTTGGATCATCAGAAGTTAACTCCAAAACACCCACTGATAGAAATCTGTTGTCACATTGATTCAGATCTATCAACCCCCTTTTTACCGGGGTGATTTGGGTAAGTTCTTAGCCTCTGTGACTGAGTGTCTTCTTGGCTGGTAGCACTTAACCTTCTTTGGTGTGAGGATTAAATCTGATCAATCATCCGGCCCAGCTATTTTCCCAGTTAAGTGCTTGGTAACAAGCTAAGATTTGGGTGTGCAGGAGTGAGGGAGCAACATTTTCCTAATTGGTTCTAGGAATTTTGTGAAGGAGGCCGAGGAGATCAGCTCCAATCGCC